TGTGCAATGCGAGCGCCTCAGCGGCGGCCAGAGGCTGTGGACTTCGTCGCCGACCATCCGTTTGCCTTCTTCGTGGTGGAGGAAGTGTCCGGTGCAATCCTCTTCGCAGGACAAGTGCTTGACCCTACAAAACCATAGCTTCGCGATACTCACCTCACGTAGTACCAAATAAACTGCTCTAACAATAACAATAGTGATCACGCATGCAATTACTGGATCGGAGTACGTGGCAGAGCAGATATATAGTCCTATCTTTTGTATTGGCAATCTGATCTGGGATAAACAATACAATTAGAGTCAATTCTTTTAGTGCTATACTACTATATCTGATGTCTTGTTTACTTCCGTAAATTAAAACTCCGTCCCCTTCATACTTCCTCCAGTCATGAATATGCGTTTACGTTCAATCAACAAAATAGTATACATTTGTGTTCTTTATTACGGTGCAGTGTATTGCGGTATGGTGCAATAGGGTTCAAAATTTCGTGAATTTTGGTAATTTCAACGGTGGTCAAAAGAAAATTCAAAATTTTATATTACACTAATACATGTGCTATATAACTCACATTGTTTATGTTACATATTTCTCTATCCAATAGATGTGAATATTTTGTTTAGATCTATTTTTTTTAGAAAAAACTTACCCCATGTGTAAGTGTATAAAAATTTCAGCAAATTTTTTATCGAATTTCACAAATTTTGGGGGTGACGGAAACTTTTTTATATCAAAATTGAAAACCCTAGTGCAATACTTTTCGCACCGATCACTTGCAACTTTATCGTACTTAGTCATGGCTATAGTTGACCATGCAGCCCGTTGGCCCAGCCCGAAGCCCGCTTTTTGGCCCGACTTGATCCCGGCCCGCCCGATGGCCAACGGGCCCATGCCAGCCCGGCCCGATGGAGCAGGCCGTGCCTGGGCCGCTCCCCAAGCACGTCGGGAGGCACGGCCTGGCCTGCTAAAAAGGCTAAAGGCCGGTTCCCCATCCCTGGCATCCAATCCCTCCATCCGGCCTCCCCCATCCCCGGCCACGCCACCGCCTCCACCTCCACTCCACTCCGCCTCCCCCTTCCCCATGCCGCCGCCTCCAGAGCTCCACCTCCACCACGCGACTGCGTCGAGTGCGGCGGCGGCAGCTGCCTCCACGGCCCCCCGCGCGTCTGGCTGTGGCCGCCTCCTCCGCTCCTCCCGCACGGCTTCGAACGGAGCGGCCTCCATCCCCTCCGCGGCGCCGACCTCGCTCCTCCTCACCGTCTCTCGACCACGCTGATGTCGAGCGTGGCAGTAGTGCCGGCCGGCGTCGAGCACGTCAGCGGCCGCCTCCTCCACGACCCCCCGCGTGTCTGGCCACCTCCTCAGCGTCCCCCTGCAGCGGCTTCGAGCGGAGCGGCCTCGATCCGGCCTTCTACGCCTCGATCCGGCCGGACCACCGCTGATCCGCCAGCTACTTCGCCGGACTCGCCTCCTCCGCCAGCTACTTCGCTGGATCCTACATCAAGCGACCCGGGGGGCAAGCTCGCCGGCGGCCGCCGCCACCTCCACTCCTCTCTGTTGGATTTGGTGGGCCTCGGGGTGGCCCGACCTGCTAAAAAGGTTGGGCTCATCGGGCCGGCCCGGCACGGAAATTGGCCCGATAGGTCGTGCCTGGGCCATCGGCCAGACACGATGGACTGGTGCGGTATGGCCCGGTGGCTCGATGGGCCCTTCCGTGCCGTGCCCTTTCGGGCCGTGCCTAGCACGGGCCCGTGCCGGGCCGGACCGGGCTGGCCCGTTGGCCATCTTTAGTCATGGCTACACTAGTAATTTGATACCTTTGTGTGAAGTACTCCCTCAATCCTATAATAAGTGCAATTGAGTTCAAAATTTGTTTCAAAATAAATACACTTTTGGTATTATCTAAAAAATACACTTTTAGGTACGAGACAACCTAACTCTAGTTATTTTTTCTACTCTCTTTTCTCGAAATGCAGTGATTACATCTTTATAGAGGTATATATGTAATTTTTCATTAATATTATCTCTTCACCAAAACGCTAACATTGATCTCACCAAAACGCTAGATGCACTTATTTTTGGAACGGAGGAAGTAAAGTTGATCCGTAATGCATGAGATTGTATAGCTAATCATTCGTTCGCACTCTATATTGTGTATTTATTTATTGTTGGTCTTGGTGGCTGCCTACAGCAACTTGGAATGCCTGCAAGAAAGCATTATCTTTACATTAGCGGAAATGCTACAGGGCGTCCGTCCGGGCAGCCCTTCGCAGTCCTGCGTACCAGCGTAATAAACCTCTGTTGTGCGCCCGCTTGTTTTTTTGTTACGATATCTGCTTCCGTCTCTTCCATTACGCCAGTTGGTTAAGGAAAGGAGGAGACGAGAGACCTGATCCGCTCTGCTCCGCACGTCGACGGTGACCGCGGCTCCTGCTCCGTCGGCCGCCCCATTGCTCCTGCTCTGCAGCCCGCTCCGCCATCGATGGTCACCCACGTTGCTCCTTCCCCTGCTCCACCGTGCCGCCCCGCTGCTTCCTGCCACTGCTTCTGCTCTGCGGACCGCTTCGCCTGATGGCGTGGGCACCACCGTGCCCACGCTTGGCGACCGCTCCCTGCTAGCCACTGAGGAGCTGTGTAAGGAGAAGTGTCGGGCCTTGGCGCGGAAGCCCTCTGGTCTCACCTCCTGCTATGGCTGCGGCGTCTCGATGCAAACGGTGGAGGAGGCCACACCGAGATACGATGCATGTTGTAAGTATACATTTCAATTATTTTAGATGTTTTAGAGGTATGTTGCAAGTGTTTTATAAGGATGTTGCAAAAATAGATCGGAATGTTGCACATGTTGCAATGGGCTATACACATATGTTTCAAGTGTATGTTTCAAATGTTTCATCTGTTTTAGACGTATGTTGTAAGTGTTTCATTAAGATGTTGCAAAACAAGATCGGGATGTTGCATATATATGCAAGTGTTTCATGTGTTTTTATACGCATATTGCAAGTGTTTTATCTTGATATTTGCATATGTTTGCAATGGCTACACATGTGTTTTCAAGTTTTTCTAGTGTTTTGCAAGTGTTTCACTGTTTTGGACGTATATTGCAAGTGTTTCATCTGAATGTTATAAAAGTAGATTGGGTGTTGCACATGTTGCGATGCGCGTGAGAAGCGGAGGGGGCACGAGCGGTCCCTGCGCGCGCTCTGGAGGCGCGGGCATTGTCCGGGCAGCGTAGGCCCCGCATGGGCGTGCGAAATGCAGGCTCGTGTGGGGGCTTGCTGGCCCGAGTGCGAGAAACGGGAGTGCAGCACGGGCGTCTGTTCGGACATCCAGGCGCTAGCACTGCCGTTACATTAGAGTGAACTCAAGAAAGCATTACCTTTCAAGCGTCCGTCTAGCCAGACGCACGCCTTCGCTAGGCCTGCGAACTAGGTCTGACCGGTCCAATACGTGGCTTCACGTCGTCCACTTATTGTACCCACCATAAATATCTGATACTCCATGATACCTCCCAAAATAAAAATCTCCCACTCCGTAAGCTGCCAGCTGCAAGCCACACACATGTTCTGCTTCTCCCAGATCCAGTCCACTCCCACTCTCTCCAAGTCCTGCAGTCAAAGCACCGCCCGCCGATGGCGTATCCGCCCACTAAGTGGAGGTTCGGACCCCCGGCGACTCGCCGCAGCCCACTCCGCTCTACTCTCCTCCTTCATGGCCGCACCCCAACCCTCATTCGCCCCCCGCCTCCTGCTCCTCCTCACCGTGGCCCTCGCCATCGCCACGGCCTTCGTCCTGCTTCGCACGCCCCTCACCGTCGTGACCTGCGTGTCCGCTGCCATGTGGCCGCTCACCAAGCTCCCCTAAAGGCGTGGTGTTGCTCCTATCCTCGAAGGGCTTTCGCTACTGGTACCAGTACAAGGTCCCTCTCCCGACCCGCACATAGGTCTCCTCATCGCTGGCGCCGACGTCCTTCTCATCACCTCCTCCCGCGGCTAGAGATGGCAAGGGCGTCGTGGCCGTGTCGTACTTCGCAAGCGCCTTGAGGCTCACTAGACATGGTGGTCGCCGTCCACTAGAGTGTTGCGCGCTGACATGTTGCAAGCGTATGTTTCAAGTGTTTCATATGCATATTGCAAGTGTTTCATGTGGATGTTGCAAAAAGTAGATCGTGATGTTGCATATGTTACAATGGCTATATACGTATGTTGCAAGCGTCTGTTCCAAATATTTCAGCTGTTTCAAACATATGTTGCACGTGTTTTATCTGGGTGTTGCATATGTTTCACACTTATGTCGCAAGTGTTTCATCTGGATGTTGCATTTGTTTCACATCCGTTGTAAGTGTTTTATTTAGATGTTGCATATGTTTTGCAATGGCTACACATGTTGTTTCCTCGTGTTTCAGACGTATGTTGCAAGTATTTCAACTATTTTAGACGTATGTTGCAAATGTTTTCTCTAGATGTTGCAAAAGTAGATTTGGTGTTGCACATGTTGTAGTGAACCCCATCTGCAGCTGCTGGGCCCACCTATATGTGCATGGGTGTGGAGAGAGTGCAAGCGGCAGGCATGGGAAACCATGCGAGCACAGATCGACGCAGGACATGGTGTGGGTGCAGGACACGGAGTGGCACGGGCTCCCACGTGAAGCAGGCACAGGCATGCGGCGCGGGCGTTCAGACGCTAGCCCCCATCCTGACGTCCGAGCCCTAGCCTTTACATTAGAGTGAACTCAATCTAATGTATGTATTATGGTCAAGTTATAATGCGCAGTCCTATTTCATTGTCGACGACCCAACAGCTGCTATAAGTCCACATGGGCCCAAATCCAGAGCTGAAGGTCCACCTATATATTATTATATATCAAACGGCGAACCACTATACAGTATACACAATTTCAGAGCACAAGTACATGACGGATCGAGTTCTTGCAGGTATCAAACTATCAGCTACATTAACTGCTGTGGCATCACCATCCTTGCAAGCAGTTGTTTTCTGCTAGTGTTGTCTAGACGAGCTGGACCACTGCAGCAATTCGCAGGGCACCACCCTGGAGAAGATCTGCAAGCTCATCAAACAGTATAGCAGTGCGCCAACCCCAGCCCTTCGGGGCTTTTGGTAGCAGTGTCCCAGCCTGCTTCAGGCTTCCAAATATCATGACCTCTCTCTTTGATGGACAGATGAGCTAAGAACAGTAAACAAAATTGGCAAATTAAGCCATACACGGTACCTCAGTGAAACGATGAGTAGATGAAAAACAGATAGTACCTGATACCGAGCAGTGACCTTTTCCCGGGGGTCGATGTACAAGTGAGCCTGAGGAATACAAGTTTTTATTATCACTTAAATTGAACATAATGTTCTCTGACAAGTGAATTCAGTAAATCACTCACCTTCCTCAAGGGATCTAACAACTCAGCCTTGCGTCGGTGGAGAAAAAGTCCTGCATTGCCAGTTAAATTGGCACATGCCATATCATTATATTTGGATAGTCGTCACAGCAAGAGGAAAACATATGAGAACATGGTAAATAAAAAAAGAATACCAAGGGTGCGTCGTCCATGAGGATCCTCATCATTGAATGCCTGGACACTCACCTGGACATGTGTATACCAATTACTTTAGTGGATTTTGACCATACAAGGATGGATACATTTAGGACAACAATGCTAACCTTCCATAGAGAGCCTGCATAAAACACTTCAGTCGAATGTTTCACCTGACCATCAGCAAGCCTGTGCACATCCTTGAACTCAACCCTGTGAGCAAAAATAAGTTGGTCAAGCCATGTCAGAAACAAGGAACCAATGTGCACAACCAATTCTAAATCATTACTACCTAAAAATGACAAAGAACAAACAGCAGAACTTAGCTAGCCTTATATTTTTGTGAGAAATTTTATTTATTTTTCTTATTTCTGCCATGACAGGTTATCAACAAGGCAACAGCCCCAATTGGTATTCTAGAAGTAAACTGTCCTCAAACTTTCAAATGATTCGTGAGGCAACTGGGACATTCTACAAAATGGAAAAAAAAACAAGTCCAATTTTCCCTGGACATCGTCCAATGCAGAACTCATTGGTGACAGAATCGCAGAAACAGAAAAATAAGTAATCTTACCCAAAGCGGAAAGGAGGAAAATGGCTAAGAGGTGTTTTCATGTCTAATGATATAGTTGCGTCCTCTGCAGTTTCCCAATCTGATCCAAGTTCATGCTCCTTTGACTCCTGCATCTGGACAGAAGAACCACCTGGAGTGGAAACAGATGCAACACTGTGATATCTTGTCTGCATCCCTGTCTCAAATAGACTTTCAGCCTGCAGATGAGCAGCATTGTTTTCTTGGCTAAGGTTAACCAATGCAGTCAGACCATCTGCTGAAATATCTCCATTGCGGTCAATTCTAGGTTCTGATTCATCATTGGCAAATTGTTGGCCATTTCTTGAACCAAGCCCATAAGGGACACGGGAGAAGACATAACGTGTAGGAGCCCAAGCTGCACCAGGCACATTTGAGTTCCCTCTCCCAATACCAGCAAGTCCATCGACTGCTCCTCTTACGTTAACACGGACAGGCCCAAGTACACCATTCCCATCGCCCTGGGCATCCGCAAGGTAGACATTACCTATGCTGCCGGAAGCACTGCTCCGGTCATGCTCCTGCCTGTAGTGTGTATGCGAGCTCACATATGCTTGTTTGCAAGCACAAGAATTATTCGTAAGGCAACAGTTCCTGCAAGTATCAGCAATTATTGCTTGCACCCTGTGACACAGAAGCATCTACAATAACAAAGCATCAAGGTTTTATAAACAGTCTTAAAAGGAACAGAGTACCACAAGGCAGGGAGTAGATTAAATACCTGTAGCCATAGACCATCATTGACAGCTTTGCAAGGGAATCCAAATTCTTCGAGTTGCTTTCGAACACTTAGAAGTGCATCAAAGGACATATTGCAGTAGAGAAGAGAACCCCTCTCAAATATATTCATAAAAGCGTTATATTCATCAGTAGATAGACAAGAGCTTCCTCTAATGCATCTAACTTGCTGCCGTCCAATGACCCTACCACCCCAAAGTGGTGCATTGGGCCTTCCCCACTCAGTAGGAACAACACCACTACTGGAAGTTCTTGAGAAATAATGATTTGCAGTTTGCTCACTAGAAAGCCAGTTATTTTCATTAAATTGATATGAAGTGCTTTCTCCTGATGGTCCTCCAGTAGAACAATCATTCTCCATTCTCTTGGGAGCTTCACCATTCTAAATTTCAGAAAAAACAGTACAGTCTTAATGTAGTTGTCATGCTTCATGTTAAAAATAGTTATTTCATAAGACAAGGAAAATACATAGCATATTGAACAAAAGTAGAGATGGAGCATCATCTCAGCTGTCCAGATACGATATTCCATGGAATTACCATATCAGAAATAGCAATAACGTTATGGGGAAGTTCATTGCCCAAGTTATCATGCAACTTCAAGTTCTGCAATTCAGAGTCCATTAGCAGTTCCTCCCCAGATTCATTCATCGGAGTCTTCCCCTTCCTCATGGATCGATCAGCACTTGGTAAGTTTGTTTCATTCCCACTAACTTGTATCTTACACATAGCAACCTTTGCAAGTAGAGTAAACAATGCTAGTTCAAACCTTCAAGTACCAAGATAAGATGTTGTCACAAAAAGGCTTGTAGTATCATTGAGCAGACAAATAAACACAAAGTGACAAAACTAACCTTTTCTCCTCGTTAGGTACCCACAGTTCGTCAGATGTAAGGAGAGCATGCAAAGTTTGTGAAGAAAGCTTTGGTAGCACCTTTCAAGAACAAAATACAAAAATATTGTGAATAACCAAAAGCCCCCGTTTGTTCACATATAACATAGAATGTATATTAAACAACAAATCCCAGCCAAGCACATCCTCGCATGTAAGTACTTATGTTGATGAAAAGAAAAAAACTAAACATATTCATATAATTCAACATAGAATAGTTTCTCAGCATTTTTCGCACGACACCTAACAGCCATACTATCCCCATTCACAACAATAGTCACCATGTACTTGATTTAAATGCCGAAACAAATAGTCAATTCATGCAATGAAAGATATTGCTGAAATTAAGGCATGGGTGATAAGGTCTATCGATAAATGAGCTCTATCAATATCTAATATTTAATACAGAAGGCAACCTTTCAATTCACATGCAAGCATAAACGAAAGATGTAAAATTATTACTTGAGTGAGCATACTTAAAGCTGGTGGTCACAATAAACAATTCTTCAAATCAAGAAAAAAAGGCATTTCAACCAACACAATTACACCATTTAATCAGATAAAGTCCTATAAATTATATGTACCTCTCGTAATTCCAGTGTGGCACTTTGACAAAGATAACCCCAGCAAGCATTCCTGACACGCTCTCCGTGGCTACCATAATCTTGACTCTCAGCAAACAACTATTAGCAACAACAAAAAGTTGAAACCAACAAAAAATGATGATGAGAAGAAAGTGAATCTTTTAGTGCTCAAGAAATCTGATCTGACTCAGCATTAAGCTTTATAGTAGTAATGAAGTTACCTGATATTGTAAAAAGTTTGATGTCCAAAGCTCAGAAATAATAAAATCTGTACATATTGTGCACAAGTCCTACAATTGATCACATCATATGTGAGACAAAATAACACAGCACAATGAGGCACAAAGGAAAATTATAAATGAATGATTAAAATGGGATAAGTAGACCTGAAGATCCAGAAATGATGCAGCTGCAAGCACTCGGAATGCATTGTTATCATTAAGCTTGGGGGTTTGCCCATAAAGATATGCGAGCGCAATTGCAATTGCCTCTGAATCAACATTGGCATCATCTATGTTCAAAACCACTGTGGGTGCTCCTGCCTCTCTCCAAGGACCATGTAGCATATTCCTTCCAGTCATTATTATACAGAAGTTGTTAAGAATTTTACTTACTTTAGTTTACATGAACACTCTATGTGCTAGTAGGGAAATAATGTAAGAAAACAGCAAAAGGTAAAAGTTTGGCTGCAGAAAGAGGGTGACTTCTGTGTTGACAGACAAACACACAGAAAGCGGCTACAGGCAATGGAACTTAATCAATGTTGGATAGTTCTATCATAATTCTATATAAGTTTACATTTTTTTTTGGCTAAGTGATAAGCAAGCAATGCATATCCTTGGTAACTACAAGAGCAGAGCACCAAAGTCCCATTCAAGTACCAAGCAAAGATGCAGGGACCATAACCATTATGATTTCATTTTTCATGTGCCACGCTATTGGTTGATGCTTATGCCTCCATCCACAAGTTCTGACCTTGAAATCTCGACAGAAAACTATCTAGTGAGTAGTTCCTGACTTTTATTAAATCATCAATTTTAGCTTCAGTCATGATTCGTGGCATAGATGGAAATCTGAAAGTCATAGAGCAAACTAAACATTGAATGATGCACTATGATATACAGAGCAAATGAAGATCTACTCTGTAAGATTTTAATGGGCATGCTATTTGCAGGCTCTATTTTTTTCTGAAAAAAAAACAAAAATCCTAATCACTTGGTAAGGTCATATTCTTAGATTAAACATTTTAATAGGGATGAAAGCACATGGAAATTTCACAGGAAATGGATGGAGACATCCCAACCAAGACAAAAATGTCCACATAGAAATCCAATTAAGTACTATGAGCAGTTGCAGACGATCAGATCGCAACAGTCACTTCAATCCCCAAGCAATCGAAGGCGGCAGGAGCGACAATGCTCAGGATTCTAGAGCCCACCTGAAGTAGGCGCTGCGGGAGAGGATGAGGCGATGGAGGCGGTAGGTGGCGCCCATGGCCTCCACGACGAGGTCGGAGAAGGCCCCGGAGCCGAACCCCTCCGCCTGGACGTGGTCACAGAGCGCGGCGAGGTTGCAGTCCACCGGCCGGAGCTCCGCCGCCGCGACCGCCACGTCGTACGGCCGCGGACCCGGCGCGGCGGCGGGCAGAGGAGCCGCCAGCGCGGCCCCCTCCTCCGCTGCCGGTGGGTGCGGCTGCGGCGGGGCGGCCATCGGGCCTGGGTGGGGCTAGGGTTTTAGCGGAGGCGCGCGACACGCCGCGTGTCGGTGGGATGGGGAGTGATGAGGCGGGGTAGGGTCGGGGAGAGGCCAGCGAGTCGGGAGGAAGAAGAAAGGCGAAAAGCGATCGCTCGGGTTCGGGAAATGTACTGCGTTCTACGGTTGGCCAATTTTCTTGGAGCGCCGAACAAGCGACATCTTCTCCTTTCCTTCTTATTATGGTTAAAAAAATTGAAAATATTTTTTATAATTAAAAAACATTCATAAATTCCACTACTCATTGCTCCTCCGGTCAAAATGGATCCAGTTTGGATTGTGTGCAAGCCAACCATCTTAGACTTTGCTCAGAATTATAGGGTGAATTTTGAATATCTAAAAATGTATGGGTAGATTTATCTTAAACACAGTTCCATAATAGTATTCCTTTGGCTATACTTTATAAAATAGAATAAAAAAGATTGAACCAAAGTTTTTAAGGTGTCAATGTCTAATCTACTCCCTCTGTCTCGTGGGTGCATTCTAGAAATTTTAGGACAGATTAAGAGAGAACACAAAAGATGTGTATAAGACGTTATCATCAACATCATTAGTGGTGATTGGTTGATAAATGGGAATTATTTAATGCAAAATGGGTTTCTGTCTTCTAGAATGTCTTATATTTGAGGACAAATTTTGAAAGCTAAAATACGCTATATTACAAGACAGAGGGAGTAAATCATATAATTATTTGTGACACTATTATATTCGAAATGCAATAATCAAAATCTTGTCCCCACGTATCCACTACTATCCATCTTACAGTGTAAGTAGGCGCTGCGTGAAAATAATCTGCAACAGATATAAATAGATAGAGTACATAATCATTCATGTGTACGCAAAATTTGAGTTTAAAAAACTTGTGCAATGAGAAATATAAAAGATAGATATGTTTGTCTTTATATTTCTCCTTGTATAAATTTTTGTTTGAGCTCAAATTTTACACACCCAATCAACCAAATAATTTTTACTTTTATATTCATAGACAAAGAAGAGAAGTTGAAAAAAATAAGGACTTGTTTGGATCAATGGATTCTCAAAGGAATTTTGAAGGAGTACATTCCAAAGGAAAGGAAACACTTCATAGTATTTGGAACGAAGGAATGTTTGAGTTCCTTTCCAAATGAAAGGAAAACATAGTAGTGCAAAATAACAATATGAGATCGTATTTAATATAAGTTCTTGGATCGAATTTGAGATGTTAACAATGTAGAATAAAGATAAAGTGAATATCAAAGTTGTAGTACTCGACGAGATCTATAACTCTGCAGTTAATAATTCTTTCATTTAAGATTATTAGAGTGTCAAATACACAATATAAGATTCAAAATTCTGTACTTAAAAGAATGACGTTAGTTGTATAGTCACAAATAGGAGTGGGTTCGAATCCTAGAAATACATGTTTTTCTATCTTTTTCTTTTATCACCTATCACCGCCTGGTTCTAAAACTGTGGGCCCTGGTTCTAGAACCAGGGGGTTTCGATCCAATTATGAAATCTGACGTGGTGGATTACTTTGTTTTTTCATAGAACGAGTTTCCCATGCTCAAGACCGAGCATGCAAGCCCTTGCAGGATGGAATGCTCTATGAGATTTGAGTGAGGGACTGATCAACCGTATCTTCTGAAAAGATTTCAGAAGAAAGTTGGTCTCCATTCGTGATTTTATTTCTTATCGATTATCGATAGTGATAACTGATAAAGTGTTCGATCGACCTTACTCTCCTACAAGATTTATTATTCAGCCATGCTGGTTGTTTGTAATTGAATTAGTCAAGCTCCATTTCATATGCATATATATAACATCAGTATCAGTATATTATCCCTGCTCGTGTTCTACACTTGAGCTGAAAAAACGAGGGTACGTCCTCACTCCTCACCGACACCAGGACGAGCTAAACTTTTATTAGAATCTTCCCTATCTCTACTGACTATTGTTCTATGTTTTCTCCCAGAAAAGTTAAGTAACGCGTACTGCATGCGTGGACTGATCAGAATCGACCGGTATTTCATTCTCTCAACAACCATTTGGGAATTGGGAGGCTGGAGTATGAATGAATGCCAATCTGAATCCAAGAGGAAACACTGCAGGTAGCACGTGGAAAAAGAAGAAAACAAAAGGTGCACATGACAACAAGCTTACTTAGCCATCAAAAGCACACTTATCTTTATGGAAATTGGCAAAAAAAAAAACGATGAGAAAAATCTCATCGTTCTCCATTTGCAAAAGTACATTGAAAGAAAGTAGCATCTCTCACAAGACTTACATAAGTAGTCAATCAACAACCACAGCCGAAGGATAAAATAAATAAAAGTAAAGAAAGAAAGTGGACTCTCTCTCCAAAAACACTTTATCCTTCACCTGCTGGGAAAAAGCTGTTTCTAAATCTTGTAACTAACATTAAGCAAACTGTAAAAAAATAAAAGGGTGCTCTTGTTCAGTGAGTAAACAGGATCGACGGCGTTCCAGGGACTGTAAACACTGCAGCTGCAAGCCTGCAAAGTGTAAAAAAAGTTCAGTTCAGAAGACGTCGGTCCGTCCGTCAGATGCAGCGGCTGAGGAGGCCGCAGACGACCACAAGCCCAACAAGAAGCAGGCGATCTGCATCTGCAGCAGGGCCCACCGTCAGGCTGAGGACGTCTTCTCCAGCACCACCCCTGACTCCGTCTGCTTCCTCTTCGTCTCCGCCACGACCTCGCCGTCGGGGCCGCTGATCCTGTACTCCGATTTGCGCGGCACGCCGTCGATCCGGTAAACCTCCCCGCTGACGCAGATTGTCGCCACAGCTCCGCCACTGTCCTGCGGCCCTCCCTTCTTCAGGATCCGACGGGCCTTGCGAACACTGAACCATGGCTTGGAGCTCTCCTGCTGCTCCAGGCCTCCAGTGCCGGCTGTGCGGTAAGAGTAGCCCTTCCATGTCTCGAACGCCGCAAAATTCTGCAGGGAGAATCACACCAAGTGTTAGCTACGCTAAGGTCTCATCAGAGAAGGACGGGCCGAATAGAGCAATGTCGTCGTCGCATGCATATATTCACCTTCTTGAGCAGCTTGAGCAGCGTCCTGCCGTCGCCGTCCATGACGTACGCCTCGCGGCTGCGGCTGCAGGCGTAGTTGTCGACGCGGTAGGCGACACGGCCGTCCTCGCCGTAGACGGTGCACCCGTGGCCGCTCAGCACCAGCGACTTCATCCACACCGTGTACACCTGCTTCTTCCCGGCCGCGGGATTATCATCAGTCGGAGACGGAGTAGCGGCGCGTGGGTGGAGGTGAGCGGAGAGCGGCTGGATCCTAGTGATGGCCATTGATTTCTTCTGAACTTCTGATGAGGTGAGGTGAGGTGAGGTCAATGCGATCATCCGCTGCGTTCATTTATACATGGAGATGGAGGCATGCATGGCCGGCCACACCATGCCTGCATTTCGGATGTTATGAGAGTATTTTATTTGTTATCTTTAAGATAACAATTATTACGTGGGTTCTGCTCTTCCCCACAGTTTTCCTTTCAGAAAAAAAGGTGGGTACGTTTCTGTTCTGCATGCAATGTTCACGAGGTCAATTTGAGAAAAACTTGTTTAGTCAGGGATCGGATACTGTGTACTATCTCTCTCTCTTTTGAAAAGTGACGCTGCATGGACATTATACGCTTTGTACACCATGGTGTCTCCTGTATTTCCAAGTATTTTCTGACTCCTTTTTCTCCACATGTTTCTGATGGGGGTGCTCTGCTCAGGGCTCTGTTAAACGCGTGCGGTGTCACAACGCGGATGTATTTTATTTTTCTTCTTTCTTTAGCTTTGTAGCAGGAGAGCATCTGTAGTTTAGACCTTTAATTTTCTAATCTGGAAGTGTGTCATTTCACTATGCTTAGTGGGCCCAATACACTCCTTTTTTTTTTCCAAAACCATAGCTTTAGTTACATCTGCCCTAAAACTGCTACCGTTTTAGTTTTGTGCTAATAAACTTCTCTTTGACCAAGTTTATAGATATATAAATATATTTAACATCTACCAATTTGATAAAACATTTAATGTTCTAGATAGATATTTGTACGTTTTTCTACTAACTTGGTCAAAGTTAGAGATGATTTACTTACGATAAAACTTAAAAGACCTAATTTTGGAACTAAGAGAGTAGTGTATGTAGCAGTAGCAGTCTAGCAGAAGTGTCGAGTGACTAGACTCTGAAATGGGTAAACTATTTGATTTGAAAAGGTGTCGGTCATAGATTTTCATAATGCCTCTCTTTTTTACATTTCGGTTTCTTTTATATATATAGATATTTTATTATATATATAGATTTATAATGCACCTTGCTTTCCATGCCTTTGGAGCACGCAAACAATTTGATTAGAGGAATAATGATCCTATTCACGAGTCTTCCATTGCATCACATCGATCGATCAGGTACAATTGAATGTCTGCATCTGATATGAGCATTATGGAACAGCTCAGACGCTAATCCGCACGAGCCTTCCAAATGCTATAGCAGGCAGGCCTTGCACTAATTGTTAATTCCGACGACGTCTCTCGCGATAATCTCGTCGAGCTGGAAGCTAATTCATTATCTGACATATATATAGGCATCCATTTTATGATGACATCGGCACATCGCAATGCAAGAAAGTCAGAGACTGCCCCTTCCCGAAATGCAGGAAACAACACTTCATCGCAAAGACACACACAAGTGCATGCACTCTAGGTGGATTATTAGGGAAATAAGAGTTCTATTTGATGTATACTGCCAATCTGCCATGTGTGGATAAGCAGTGGTCTGTAAACAACGCTTTGTGGGTGGCCCCTGGTGCTGACATCACGCAAAATTAAAGGATGCGACGAACATGAACAAGAATAGAAATCGGCCGCCATGCACGTGACTCCATGGAAGAAGTGAATGGAAACTAAACCTACTAAGGCAGCGGTACTGAATAAAACAATCAGATAGATGTTGAGATCTGATCGCACATGTTTCCCGTTACTCTGAGTCTCTGAGGTTAGTTGGGATCCTGATGAACTGCATTGGATGAAGTGAGCCCTGCCCAATGCCAAAAGAACATGGACAGAGAGGTTTACCTTCTCTTCTAGGCAACTGATATAGCATAGATATGTATATCTCATATATGACTGTAATTTAAGCTGAAATAGCTAGTTAGGTAGTTATATTGCTGCACTTAAGCGTCTTGGAGTATGTATTTGCAGTTGTAGTAAATGAGAACCTTAACTGAAATTTTGTTCTGCGAGAGTTGCATACCTGACGCCCTGTGGACTGGAACATCACTGTATTGTTAGGCTAGTAGAGAAGTAACGTCTGAAATGAACTCTAGAACATTACTGTATTAATCATACCTGCCTGGCTGCCTGTAATGATACTATAATTGAGTTTTTATTTGTTGTAAAACATGCACCGCCATGTAGCGTGTCCAATATGGGCTACAAGGGATTAGACAAGACTTAAAGTATTTAGTACTTCTTGGAGCCGCTGCTACTTGTTGGGCTATGTGGTTATGCAGAAATGCAATGGTATTTGAAAACAAACAAATGTCATTTTTGCAGGTTATTTTCTCAATTTTGCATTGGCTCCGTACCTGGGCTATTCTCCAGAAGACCGCTTCCGCAGGTTATGGTTGTAGCGGCCTCGTAGTTCTTGGAGAAGGTGGTCAAGGAGTGTTTTACCCGGACACATGGGCGGCGGTCTAGTCTTCGAATTGATAGCCATTAATGTATTCCTTTTATTTTCGTTCTTGTGTAAGGTTGTGTGCCATCCAGGCAGAGGCCGAGAAGATTTCAAGTTGATGTATTACCTTGACGTAACAATCTTGAAATCAATAAAACTTCCCTTTTGAAAAAAAAAATGTGTGGATAAGCAGTGCTCTGCAAACAAAGTTTGTGGGTGGCCCCTGGTGCTGACATCGAGCAGAAGGATGCGATGAACATGAACAAGGATATAATTCGGCCACCACATGCACCGATGCACATAACTCCATGGAAGATGGAAGAAGCAAATGGAAACTGAACCTACTAAGGAGTAGTACATACAGCAGTAGTGCAAAAACAATGAGGTCGATGTTGAAATCTGGTCGCATATGTTTCCCATTACTGTTAGTTGGGATCCTGAACTGCATTTGATGAAGCGAGCCCATGCCAATTGCCAAAAGACCATGGTCCATGGATAGCTGCAATTAAGCTCAAATGTGTAGCTAGTTAGGTAGTTACACTTACATAGCTGCACTTAGGCATTGTTTGGCTGTACTCTAATCCACCCTAGTTTACATGTATTAAGGTGAATTGGGGCTAAAAAAAAACTTTTCACCTCAATCCACCCCACACAAGCACGCACTCACAAACACTCTCCACTGGCGGCTAGAGAAGTAATGTCTGAGATGAACTCTAGAACACTACTCCAAGATAAGTGCCTGTAATCATAGTATAACCATGAAACATTATGTTGCCTTCTTCAGCATCCTACGTACGAGTACGATTAATAATCAATCAAAACTCCAGAGACAGCTGGTAAACGTGATCGATGCCAATAATGAATCGAAGTTGCTCATTGCTGACTAGGAGTACTTTTGTTGTACATATATACAAAGAAAAGGAGCTCGATAGACGGAGCATGCATGCATAAACAACTTTTGGTACAGCACTATTCTGTCATATTTTGCATGACGCGTATAAGAACACAAGTTCCCGATGATCCGTTTACAATTTTTTAATATGGCCTCCAAAATATATATGGGTGACCAGCCATGCACACCCGGCACCATCACACATCCTCATCATCAGCGGCAGAGCAACCAGCGCGCCCTCTCGCCCCTCCCGATGGCCAAGATCCAGCCTTTGCCCGCAGCCTCGTCGCCGGCGCCTCTCTCCTCCACGGATGAGGGACAGCAGGTGTACACGGTGTGGATGAAGTCGCTGGTGTTCAACGGCAATGGCTGCACGGTGTACGGCGCGGACGGCAGCGTGGCGTTCCGCGTCGACAACTACGGCTGCAGGGGCGGCCGCGAGGCCTTCCTCATGGACCGCGCCGGCAGGACGCTCGTCGGGATCCGGAGAAGGAGCTGCTTCGGGATGTTCAGGCGATGGGAGGCCTGCCGGTACTCCGAATCCGAGTCCGACGGAGGCGAGGAGACGAGGACGGCGTGGTTCGCGGTGCGCAAGGCCCCGGGCGGCGGAGCTGCCGTGACGATGCATGGCAGCGGGAGGACGTACGCGATCGTCGGCGGGTGCTCGCGCAAGCCGGACTACAGGATCATCGGCGGCGCCGACGGTGCGGCCGTGGCGGCGGTCGCGCGGAAACAGACGCCGGCCGGGGTGGTTCTTGGAGACGACGTCCTGACGCTGACGGTGGCGCCGGGGACGGACCATCTCCTCGTCCTGGGCTTGGTCGTCGTCTGTGGTCTCATGAACCGTTGCTTGTGATGGCCGATTGCCATGACTTCGTCACAGCCAAGCATGTGATTTCTTCATGCGTTTTTTCTCTCTCTCGATCAGCTAGACTGATTCTTAGGAGGATACAGTGTGAGAGCGTGTTTCATAGGTAGTAGCTGGCCATTTTTCCCACTAATTTGAGGTCATTTTCCACTTTTTGGTGGATGTTTTTTTTAATCAGGATTCTACGGATGTACAACTGTATGCTGGACATATATACATAATCTATGAAGCATACATTTTCCCATTACAGACATTAGTTTCACCTTTTCATTTCTGAACATCCTATCATTGGGTCATAAGTTTAGCATGAACAACCTCACACTACGTCAGAATAGTACTTCACCGCCGGTTCAAAACACCCCATCACTGTCGGATTTTGAACCGGCACAATCATACCGGCAGTGATGAGGGTAAGATATTACTGTCGGTTCCTACAAACCGGCATTGTTCTTCAACTTCACTGTCGGTTTTTTACAAAATCGGTAGAGTTCAGTTCCAAAAACACTGCCGGTTCATAAGATCACCCGGCAGAGTTCGGTTCCACAAACACTGTCGGTTTGTGTTTCAACCGGCAGTGTTCTCGTAAGAATCACAGCCGATTTGTGACAAGAACCGGCAGTGCAACACTGTCGGTTTGTGTTTCAACCGGTAGTGTTCTCGTAAGAATCACTGCCGGTTTGTGGTAAGAACCGGCAGTGATGTATAAGCCAACGCTGCCGGTTTGCTGCTAACCGACAGTGATGGCACGTTCACATTTTATTGTTTTATAATTTATTTTAATTTATATTTTTTCGTGGAATCGGGTTTCATTTTATATACGCTACGTAGACGACAGGTCCATCAATATTAAACATTACAAATGTTACGGTTAC